TCCCCCTCGCCCATCGTTCTCCCCTCCGTATTGTTCTTTTTCTCCAGTGTTAGCATATATTTCTAATTCCCGAGAAATCAATGACTTTTGTTAATTTGTTTAACGGGAAAGTTACCTTCAGAGTTTGGTTCCATTTCAACAGCAGGTGCGGGTTTTTCATCCCGTTGGTACCAGCTGTAGACGGGCGCCATTTTGTATAAATAAGGGTAAGACGGCGGCCTGTACTGATAACCTGAAGTATAAAGTACAAAGACTTACAAAGCACAGCTGTCTAATACTGGCTCTTATAGACTTGCTATCTTAATTTCGTATGAAATATGTCACTTGTGGAGTCTAAGACTGAGTTAGCTGATAGAGATTTCATTTTTATTATCGTGTAAATGAACAATGCCTGGTTCCGCTTATAAAACAGAACAAACAGTGGAGCATGTCTGTGGCTAACAAGGCTTGCAATTTTGACAAGGACACAATGGCATGCAATACGACAAAATCATCGTTTTAGCTATTTTTCCTCAGCTGACTTATCACTTTTCTCCAAGTCAACCGAGAACGGTCACTGGCAGAATTACTATCCTAAGACAAAATACATTATGGTTGTTTGACATGTCAGATTCCCGTGCGATCTCAACAATTACTTAATTATTAGTGACTGAAAATATCTCAATGCACCATTTAAAAGACAACAGGCTTTAAAGAACCATGTCTCAAAGCAGTTATTCAACGTGTACTGTCTCCAATAAGTGTTGGTATTAAAGAAAAATTACTTTGCACAGAGTCGACTGACTTTGAACTTGTTCTGTTTATAAAAGATTTTACTTAAATGACAAAAACAAAATATAAGCCTCTCTGGTAAACTAAAACAATCTTCAAGTTTTATCATCTTACCTCCATACGCTTGGCCATTTGAGAACTTAAAAAACGTGAAAAGTGCGAAGACCCATAGAATTTCTCTCATTCTCCGACCAAAGTCTGCAAGTTGTGATTTCAAAGTTTCAGTGACAAAAACAAGGGGCTTATATTGTCCTCCAGAAAATTAAGTCTTGAATAAAAACTGTTAAAAACCTAGCAATTTATTTCCGTTCGAGGTCATTCGCGATACTAGAAGAATTTGAAGAAAAGAGAACGCCATTTTAAGGTTAAGCTTCTCGTTATTTTCGCGAACTAACCGGTTATCGCATGTGCCACCTGTTGGCGAAAAAAAAACTGCCACCCTGCCTACTGTTGCGGGTGTCACGATGAGTTACTGGAAGGGCTCAAAAACAGGAACTGTGACTTTCTTTTAAAAAAATTGAATTAAAGCGGATAATTGATGAGCAAACTCGGTTATTACAATTCGTTAAATAAGTGTTGAAGATTTCCTTTGTTCGGCGTCTGCTCGTCAATTGCACCGTTGTTGTTTATTAAGGCGGGGATTAACACTTGTAAGAAAGTACTGAAGCAACAAAACCATACATTGCATCAAGGGTATGAATGAACAAAGGGACTTAAATAGAACGGGAAACTTGACGTAACTAGTATTGACTCATTTAGCGCCAAATTAAACAGAGGTTGTTTAACTAAACATTCAAGTAATCTGAAAGGCCCCCAAGAGACAAGCTTCCTAGCGAAAAGAAAACATCATTTCATTCTCAAAGTCCGTTATGATATTCTTGTCAGTTCCTAGACTCCGATATAGTTCATGAACTTATTACTTGAATCACCCATGTTCACCCGTCCTTGTGGAATATTTCTCGGGGCCTATAAATTTATCTCACCTGTAGTCCCGTTTTAAAGAGGCGGCCTTGCTAATTAATAGCTCTTCACCACTTCAAATCCTGTAACCTTTCTTTTACCTCGTCTAACAGTGAATCCAATTGACATCATTCAATATTTCCTGTGGGTTACGGTTACGCAAAACGCCATATCGGAAATCTTATTTTCAATGGTTCGTTGTTTTCCTTGCTGGTTGTCTAAGCAAAGCAAATTAGCGTTCAAGCAGTGATTTGTGATTGGTTGTCACGGCATGCACTGATTTGTTTTGACAGGAGGATGACAAAGATTGAAGACTAGGGAAGTGGCTTGACTTGTCTTTGCTTTTCTAGGCGCTCTTTTAGGCTACAATAATACCAACCACCTTTTGACAGAATTGGAAGACAAAAGACATTTGCCTTTGAGATCCTTCCCAAACAAGTCCTTTTCATTTAATATATTTGACTGTTAGTAAAGTCGATAGTCGAGTTCCCAATCACATTCTGACATAATCCTATGTTATTTTGATCAAAATCTATTGTGCACAATTCCTGAGCTTCAGTTCAGGCTTTGCGAATATCAGACGTAGAAAGCTGCCATACTGCTAGAATATGAAGAATAGAGTATGAAGGCGTAGATCATAATCATAGTCAAATATATACAATTCGAGACACGATATGTTGTCTGTGACTGGAACCGGTTCTTTTGTTTGTCTGGTTATTGAGGGACCACAAACATGTTCTGGGTAAGAGGACGGGATTTCCATCCACTGGGTTTTATCTCTTCTTCCATTCTTTTCACCCAAGCGAATTGCAGAGATTTAGTAACAATCTCACAATCTGGTAGCTCAAGGTTACCTTTATCTTTTGGTTCAATTAGCGTGTCTCTTTTAATTGAGATTGAGATCCTTCCCAAACAAAACCTTTTCATTTAATATCCAGCGTTCAGGCTGTTAGTAATGCCGTGAGTCGAGTTTGTTTTCATTCTGATATAATTCTGAGTGGTTGCTCCTTGGATGGTTTTGTGGGGATGTATCGCCTTTGTCTTCAAGTCTTAATCCTATTGCAGGCCTTACGGTTGGCCATTTAGTGGTCTTGTCTACTGTCGTTTTTCCTGCGCTATGATGACACTAACTTGTAAACTAGCGTTATACCCCACCGAAGCGTTCCACAAATGTACAACTAAGTAATTATATCCCATACATTTTAGGAACCGGTTCTGTTGTTTGTTTGTTTTTGTTTTTTTTTTGGCACTTCACACGTCTCTATCATTCTGCTAGAAGGCTCACAAGTGGAAGGAATATGCACTTGTTCTCTCTTCTCTCTTTAAAACCGTAGGCAATTTCAGACCAAAATGGAAAAAATACAATTCATTTCAGACCAACAGAGTTACAAAAATTAGATTCTAGGGAACAACAAATACCACAAGGGATTATATACTAGGGGAATAATTGACCGTGATATAATGACACTTAAACAGAAACCCATTACCAAAAGCTAGGTTTATTTTTGTCTTATCTTTACTTGATATTTTCTTCTTATTATCTAGACGCTTCGTCTTATTATTAGTCCCTTCGTCTGACGGTCTAAAATTCGCCCTTGGTCACCATGGCTGCATACTGAAAATAAACAACCACATCCGTTATAGGAGACATTCCTGATAATTTATAATTTGTACTGAACTAGTCCGTTCGCAATCATTTGTGTATATTGATCATTTCCTATTTCTTCCTATAAGACCAGTCAATAGTCTGTGGCAGATGATCCCAAACTAATACACCGTATTTAGCTTTCCTTCAAAATAAACAGCCTCGCTCAACGTTCGGAGACCCATGTGTAAAAAGCATTCTAATTATTATTGGCTCTGGTTGGGTGCTTGTCCTTCTTTGATCGTGGCGTCAAATAGTGCGTAATCGTTCTTTTAACCCCTGCACAGGCCTGGGCTTTGTTGAACGACCCCTGGGGTACGTTTTTCGCGTAGTCTCCCATCATGTTCCCAGCGGGTCTGTACCGACCCACGACGTATGTACATTTCATGCCATCTTTGTCGATGTCTGCCTTTCCAATACCGAGCTTCACGCTCTCCTTCCAAACAACTTGGGTAAAGTGGCCAGTGCCTTCGCTGCCACTCTCTTGACCAAACGTGTATCCTGGTTTGCAGACCTCGTTGTACCTGTTCATAGGAGTATGGTTTCGATAAGTCATAAGTTGATTCATTGACAATCGCTTTCAGCATGATAGACCGCATCACGGTTTTGGAGGCCATCTTGACGGGTAATTAATAGTTCTCTTCTTTGTAAATACCTTTTACATATTTTTTTGAGATATATTTTTTAAATTTTTACACACGACCACATCAGCGTTTCTGTTATAGCGGAGCACCATACCCATACCCAGGAAAGTACAGGGAACCCATGAGTTGATTTTCTCATGGTTATCATGACAATCGGTATTGCTCGTGAGCGCGTGCGTGCGCACGACGACGACGACGACGACAGTGGAGTCGCATAAGATGGCGGCCATACTACAGTTAATAGGTTGACGCCCATGATATTGGACATCCATGTTATGGTCAATTGACACCTGTCAAAACAAGGTATCCGCTGACCAGTATCGCGTGACGATATCACGGGCTCAAGTTTAGAGCTCATCGAGTCACGTGTTTTTTTAAAGTTGACCGCTGATCAAGTGCTAGTTTTTGGTTGGATCGCGGGCTCGTGTCAGGTTAACTTGTTGTAAATAGTTGTCTGGAAGCCGTTAAAGCAAACCCAGGATTAAAAGTTAACGAAAGTATTAACTTTCCTCGTATACAAATGTTTTTCACTGCTTTTGTTTTGTGTAGTTTGAGTCTATTTGCCCAGGAGCTCCACTTTTAGGCTAAATCTATATATTATTGTTATGATATGGCTGGTTTGCAGTATCACGCCATCAAAAATAAAAATCAGAGCCATTCAATAAATTAAGTCAAGAAGCTGGGACATGAAAGATGATTGATATATAAACAACCTCGCTAAGATTTAGGTCTGTGCAGTTTTTCATTGTCCCGCTATTCGGAGAAGTGCTTCACACAAATTTATAGAGCTTTGTATGGAGTCGCCATGTTTGTGCCCCTCGGAGGGACACAAACATGGCGGACGTAAAGTAACAGAAACATCTGTCATTGAGTTTTGCCGTTGAAACGAAAATTTATTACTCTAGAGCTCCGACACATTGAAATTAATACTTTTTCTATAGCAACAACTGTTTATTTAGCAAAAACTTAAGCAATAACTCATCTTTTTGACTGTTCGAGAGCCTTATTGGACCGTCATTTTTATGTCACACAACGCATAAACTTGGAAATTCAAACGTGCCCTATTTCAAAATGAGGAACCCTGTCAAGCTTAAACGCTGCAAAACAGCAAGTTATTAAAGGCTCTTACATCTGATGAAACGAAAACTTCAGAAGGATTGGTAATTTCTTATTTTGGAAAATGATGTCGTCACATGAAAAGCCTTACCTTACCTTACCTTACCTTACCTTTTGAACAACTTTTGAATAGATACTAGACAAAGGACTGACTGACTGACTAACTGATTTTAAGTTCCTTACCAGTTGGTGGTAGCCGCAGCGGTAGTCTGGCCATCACTGCCGCAGCCCATGGAGAGATTTTCGCCATCGTTGTTTCTTTCCTCTGCGCTAGCGTGAGATAGTACACCCTGCTCAGCAATTTTCCGTGCATATTCAGCTGCTTGTCTGCTCATGTCAGCATCTAGTGTCATTGCCGGAACACCATGCACTTTACGATACTCGTTATGTTTATTTAGTCCAAGTATTTCATCTTGTGATCCTGAGAAATAAAACAGTCTATATATTTCTTTGGTCTTCCTTCTTAAAAAAAGGCTTTATTACAGTATTCGATGCTAGATGCACGACCATTTGCTAACATTCGCAGTTGCGTGTCCGTTTATTTGCACAGTCCAGAATCATAACTATATACAGTTCATAAACGAGCACAAACCGTCTCGTATGCACTTGCGATGATGTCATTTGTTTTCGCGCCTGCTGTGGGGAGGCCAATTTTGCGTGCAAGGTTGTGCAAGCCACTACTACTACTACTACTACTACTACTGCTGCTGCTGCTGCTGCTGCTACTGCTACTACTACTACTACTACTACTGCTGCTGCTGCTGCCACTACTACTGCTACTACTGCTACTACTGCTGCTACTGCTACTACTGCTACTACTGCTGCTACTGCTACTGCTGTTACTGTTACTACTGCTACTACTGCTACTACTGCTACTACTGCTACTACTGCTACTATTGCTACTGCTACTATTATAGTACCACCACTGCTAGCTCAACCACTACTAACATAACACTTATTCTCATGATCATTTCAACAGCATTAATATGTTACCTCCGCCTCCTCCACTTGGTGGAGTGGTGGCAGCCCCGACTCCAGTTGTGGGTCTTGTTCCAGCAGCAGGTGTGGTTACTTGTGGAGTCCCTGAAGATGAAGTGGCTCCCTGTGGTGTGGTTACTTGTGGAGTTCCTGAAGGTGAAGTGGCTCCCTGTGTGGCGCCTTTAGGGCCAGTCGCTCCTCCTCCACCAACACCCGTTGTTGGGGGAACAGATGTCGTAGCTACTCCGGGTCCCTGAGGTGGTCTTGTTTGTGGGACAAGAACAACACAGAGTGCAGGTTTTGATCCTCCTCCTGTTCCAGGTCCCCCGCATGCTCCAGGTCCTCCGCCCGCACCCGGTCCCCCGCCCGGTGCGGGACCTCCGCCCGCACCTGGTCCCCCGCCCGGTGCGGGTCCTCCACCTGTGCCCGGTCCCCCGCCTGCACCTGGGGTGCCTTGCTCTTTAGTGGAAATTTTTAAACTTATATCAACATCAATCCCATCCGATTGAATCTCATACGTGCCTGCACCTACATAACAGATAGAGAATTTTACGGAAATAACTACACTGAACTCTTGACTTTTATTTCGCGGGGCAAAGGAACCCGTGCTCAAGATTTTGAGAGAAACAACATGAAATCGATACATCAGCGTTAATTCAGTGCAAATACATGAGTCAGAGTAAGACCGAGTTTGAATTGAACTGACATTGCATTTTTGTGTCATCGAAAAAAACTCCCCCCCAGCATTTCACTATTTCCTGTTTATTATAAGTTAGGTTGCCATGTTAACGCAGCCCAACCTTCAGCGACATTGAAAACTCAAATTGCAGTATCTTATCTAGATAATAATGATATGTTCCTTGATTCTCCCCGTCTCCCCCTCCCTGCCAGTTTTTCTTTATTTCCCGTCTAAAGAGAAGTCGAATTGTGTTTTCAACAACGAAATTTATATTACGTACAAGACAATGATATCTTTTAATTACATGGGCATTTCTTAAGTACATAAAAGTTATAAAGTTCATGCAATGCTCGGGACCCAAAATTAGTGTTCTAACTACTTGCTAAAGACTTTCTCTAAAAGATCAGCACATACCAACAACATTTCTATCGTCAATTTTAAAAGCGCCTGTCTTTTGATCATCTCCATTTGGTGAAGGGTCTCTCAAGGGAAGGCCAACAGCAGCGAAATGCACAGGTCGAAAACCAAGCTGCTGCTTCTTCTCTCCTTTAGAGGATTCACCTGCATACGCTGTAACTACGAGTAAAAAGGCAAATACCGTAAATCCTCGAATTAGCGTCCGGGGCTCTTATTTCAAATTTAGGAGAAGATGGGGGGGCGCCTATTCGAGGGGAGGGGGGCGCTTATTTATTTTTTTCCAAATCGTGGCCTGACATGATCATTTTTTTTATATATATACATCATCTGCGTGTAAACAACAACATAAGCTGTTTATCGACATAAAAAGGTGATCCTTAAGTTTAAATCGCAGCACCGTTAGTACTTAACGTGTTCAACGTGTTCACTTAACGTGTTCTCAAACTGAAAGAATTTACAAATCTAATACTACACGACGAAAACTATACATCCTTTGTTGGCTCAGTACTCGTCCACAAAACAGGCGAAGGTGAGAGGGGCGCTTGTTCGAGGGGAGGCGCTTATTTTAAATTTTGGCCGATAGGAGGGCGCTTATTCGAAGGGGGCGCTTATTCGAGGGGGGACGCTAATTCGAGGATTTACGTAAACAGTGATTATTCGCTAAGGAGTAAACTTGAATGAAATAAAATTGTATATAATGAAATAAAAAAGAAAGCACATCATTTTTTCCCTTTAAAATGTCTTTTAGATGCAACGATTAAAAAAACCCAGTGAGTTTAGGTGGTGAAAGTCCTTTGCTCTGCGTGCTTTCACATGTGTGAAACAAAAGGTGCTTATTCAGTTTCGAGGTAATAGTTTTTCGAAGTCTTATAGTTTACGCATCCGTCATTGTATCAAGAAAAACACTGCAGCTTACTTTAAAGATTAAACGACTGTCGTTTAACGCGATGACGACTGTCACGGATAGATCTTTGATAATTAGATACAGACAGTATATATACACTGTACAAAGGACCTCAGCAACGCAATAACATCTTCGTTATGATTATTTATTTTTCAAATGATTTTTAGTTTGGATGGTAAATATCATATTTCAACATACCTAATAGAAACGACAAAATGTAGATGTCGATACACGCCATCCCGATTCCAGTGGGGTGAAGCGCTCTTTACTCTTCCACTCCTTTGATAAGTTAAGTACTCTTTGTAACCCAGAGAAAACAATTGATGTCAAAGGTATCATCATCGCGACTTCAAGCCATTACCCGAAACGTGCAAATATTTTCCTCCTTTTTTCACGTCTATATTTTTCACCAGTCTGCTTTAAGCATGGTCTAGTCTTAAACCACCCATCTTTCCGTTAAGGCAGAAATATAATTATATTTTCATCTCGTGCATGTAAAAGCGCACTTTCATGGCTTTCGTGTTGTTACGTTTTGGTCTGCTGTCTTGAAGCGTTAAATGAATTAGCAAAAAAACGACTTCTGTTTGTAAAAACTTATAAACTTTACACAAAATCCAACTGTCCGGTAAACGTACCTTTTGAATTATTTTAACTGTCCTGCTGCGGTAACCTCTTTTGAGCAGCGACAAATGCAATGCCTGTTTCCTTTTAAGTGGAAAGCTTGAAAATCTCAAGGGGTTCTAATTGTGTTAAAATATCCGTGTAAGAAATACAAAATTCATGAGCCGACTGGGGATTAGACGCCTTGCTGAGTAGCATTGTTAAATGTGTCCTTACTCCCTCAAACGTGCGCTGACATCCGGTGCTTTATTGTTAAGACAATCTGAAAGGCTTGCTCGTTCTCGATTACATCTCCACTCTGCAATGTTTGCGTTTCTTCAGGCAATTTGCTTTCACCTGCAAGTTTGTTTTTCGTGTCGGTAATCTTTTAATTTACCTTAGTGTGTTGGTTATTCCATGTTCACTGGTTGTTGGCTAATATAGATTGAACTCATAAAGTAGTTTGTCGTTTGCCTAGCATCTGGAATGACCAGGAGTCAGTATTTCCGGCATCATCCCAAGTGCATGGACCCCATAGTAATGCGCTTATTCATCTCAAGTTTCTGGGCAATTTAGATTATACGCCTGAGGGATGAGCTGAAATCTGAAAGCTATTGGCGTCGCTGAGCAAATGTTAATGTGACAAACCTTGTTCAACCATATCAGATACGTCTTAATGGGATGTTATCATTTTTGTTCAACAGCATAGAAAAGAAATATAAAAGGAAAATGTTAGTTTTGGTGATCTTGAGGCTAGTCGAGTTCCATTTTCATCTTGCAACAAGCTTCGTCAAAAAAGCATTTGAAATGACCGTTTTATGATCGAACGTACTACATTCCCATCCTCGCGGGAATGAGGCTGTGTATCTGTTTGGACTGACAAGCCTGGGAACCCGTGCCCTAAAAACTGGGTTAACCGGTGTGCTGTTCTCTAGAGATCAGGGTTTTAGCCCTGGAGGGATCACAGTTTTTCCTTGGGTAAGGCACTTTACATTAGCACGGTGCCTCTCAAGAGACACAAGGGAGTTCAAGTAACCAAGACCGCGACGTCGAGGACAACGTTGATTAAAAATGAATTTATATTTTAGCAACGAATCCCGCGAAAGTCAAACGTCGTTTAGTTTGTCTCCCACTGTCAAAACTATCACAAAACTTAATCTGGAACTCAACAATAAATTTCAAATAGTAACTTAAAAAATTAGTTGTCGTGGTTAATACGTTCTCTAGACAAAGCAGAATTTGGTCATTTCACGTTGTTGTTTTGCAGACGATGGCAAAGAAAAGAACCAAGAATTATAACGCACGTCACGTGCATGGCCATTGTTCTGCTCATTAAACTTTTGGTTTAGCGACAGAAATCAGGATAAGATTCAGTAGTGTGGGCCAGTGAGTTTTGTTTAAGAGCGACTTGGCTTTACACGTGGGATACGAAAATCCTGTGTGAAAAAGAGCCTTAAATATATATTGGTTTTTTTGCTTGTATTCTTCGAGGTTATGGCCGGGTAAATCCTTAATTATGAGATTGTAAGCTATAGTTACCGCGTGACTTCATAACTCTTTTTTCTTGTGATATATTTCAGCGATATGCATGGACAGTGGATTTCACTACCGCCACAAATATAATCAGTCATTAAGGTTGCTACAAGTCAACCTTGAATGCTAGCAAGAGACAATCCACTCAAGTTGATAGCAAATTAACTATCTTTAAATCTCTTGAAACCATATCCTCCATCCAGACCAGCCTTCTTTATGTTCTTGCAGTAACTGTCAACAAAGGAACCTTTCTCGATATTTTTTCGGTAAGAGTCATCCCCACTCTCAAAGTCTCCTTGGGGCTTATAACGTGCGACAATATAGGTACATGTTGCCCCATCCGATTGCTTGTTGGAAGCTTTCCCTATTCCTAGCTCCGTGCTTTCCTTCCAAGCCAGCTGCGTAAAGTGACTGGTACCCGGCTGAGGGCCTTGTTTACCAAACGTGTACTGGCACACTTCATCGAACCTGAGAGAGTAAGAACGGTTCCCTTTTTATCAGTTGAAATTTTACAAGTGACTCTTTGCTTATATATTGGATAGAAGATAGCAACAAGGAAAGCCTATGGGTGTACAAAAGATAAACAAAAGGTTCCAGTCCAAGAGGAATGGCACTTTCAGCATTTCACACCGTTTGAGCCCGAGACGAAATGCAAACTTCAACCTCTTCAACCCTGGCACCTAATGAATCTAATTTGTTCTATACACTCAACGAACAAATATTTCAAGACAACACTTCGTAGTGCTACATCATTAAGGTGCGTAGCACTGTAAGGGTGACTGAACCAAAGGGTTAGAAATAAAATGAATTGTCGAATGTTTCACGACCCCTGGTTTTACAGGGTACGGGTGGTCTGCAATCTCCTGTCTCCAAATATGACACACTGCATGTCTTACGGCATGTCTTACTCAGGTGCCAATTAAGGATCACGCCTACATACACATATTACTTTATTTACCCTCGGATTTCAGAGTAGCTTATGCAGCTAATATCTCTGAGCATTTAACCATCAGATGAGAGATAGACCACCACACCGGAAAC